CTATCCTCTCCAGTCCAGGTTCTCCAGGTGGAGGTGATGGAGTACGCGCGCGCGCGCATCTGTGTGTGGTATTTAGAGGTTTATGTAAAGACTGGCTGCTTGTGGAGCCTGGCGCATGTGAAATCAGTAGAGCAGGCGTGCAGGGAGAATTTGTGATGTCTCACTTTCTTTTCACTCAGGCCTTTCAGTGGACAGGATGAGGCCCACCCCCACTTTGGAGGGTGTTCTTTAAGTCAGCTGATTGCAGATGTTAACCCTGTTTTCCAGATTATTTCACAGCAATACCTACTTTAGTGTTTGATTAAACAGCTGGGCACTTAGTTTAGCCAGGTTGGCACATAAAGTTCAGTAGCAGAGCTGGGCATGGTTGAGCAGTTGGCAGCCCCAGCAAGTCTGGATGCGGAGGTCGGGGGGACCCCTTGAGCTCAGAAGTTCCAGATCAGCCTGGGCAACCCTGACACCAAGTCTCAAAACAACACACACAAACACACACACACACACACACACACACACAGACACACACACACACAGAACTCAGTGGCACAGTAGCATTCCAGGCTATTTTGTGAAAAGGTTTTGGGGCAAGGACTTTCAGACATAAAAAGTCTCCACCAACAGCTTTATGCAGACACTGAATGAAACATGCTGATGTTGTCCAGCCTTGATCTTATTTATTTATTTTTTTGAGACAGTCTTGCTTTGTAGTTCTGGCTTGCCTTGAACTCACTGTGTGGCCCAGGCTGGCCTTAAACGCAATGGCAGATCTGCTGCTTTTGCCTTCCACATGCTGATATTACAGGCATGCACCATCTTGCCCTGCTGGTCTTTTTTAAAAATACTGCTTAGGGGACCCCAAATATTAATTCTCGTAGGTCTCACCAGCAGTTTGAAAACACTACTGCTGTGTACGCACACTCCTGGAGGAGTGTTGGAGTTACTGGCATGCTCCCTTATGCCCCACTGCATGCAGGTGTGGTGAAGAACATATACTACTTGTATAAGGAAATATACCTGAGGAGAAGAAAGGTCCCTGGGTCTGTCATTTGGTGACTATAACTATTTCTTTATGAAAAGCTGCTTACTCTCGCATTTACTCCAACAGTGTATGGGAGTTTCAGTGCTATTCATTCTTGCTGTTTGTTTTAGATATCCTAGTAAGTACGTTGCCTGTGTATCTTGGACACTGGGATAGGTGCATCATGGTTTTTCATTGTGTCTAATGGGCAGTGGTATTAAGCAGCTTTTCATGTGATATCCCACCTGCATCCCTATTTTGGTGAAGCAGCTGTTCAAATCTTTGGCTTGTTTTTTTACAAATTGGATTACTTTATTGTTGAGTTTGAAAGTTCTTTATTCTGGATGCTAGATGCAAGTCCTCTGTTGAACGAATGATATGCAAATGTTTCTCACAGTTGAAGTGTATCTCCATTGTGTGTTGTAGAGCAAGAGTTACTAAATTTTGATTGAGTATAGCTTACCACTTTCTATGGAGTATGTTCTTAGGGACATATCGAAGAACTCTTTTCCTAAACCAGTTCACAAAGACTTTCTCCTGTGTGTTTTTCTAAAAGTTTTAACTTTATGTACAAGATGCACTTTTAATTAAAATTTCAAGTTGTGAGACAGATTGAGGTTCCCTCTTCTTTGCATATGGAAGTCAGTTATTCAGATACCATTTGTTACTCTTCCTCTCCTGAATTGTTGCAGCACCTTTGACCTTTGTTTTTGTTGTTGTTGTTGTCTTAATTTTTTCAGACAGGATCTCCCTGTGTAGCTCAGTTTAGCGTTGAACTCACTACATAGCCCAGGCTGGCCTTGAACTTGCAGTGATCCTCCTGCCTCAGCCTCCCAAGTGCTGGGATTACAGGGTGCACCACCACGCTTGGCTTCTTTGACCTTTGTTACACATCAGCTGGCCATATTTACGTGGGTCTGTTTCTGAAGTGTCTTTTGTCTCTTTGACCTGTGTCTATTTTTGTGCTGATACTGCACCTAACTGTACCTTAACGTGGCCCAGTGTGAGTCTTCCCGAATTGTTCTGTTATTCCTGTCCTTTGGCTTCTTCCTCACCTCCATTTATCTATCTGTCTTTTTTTTTTTTTTCCTAGAACAGGAGGTTTTATTTTTTTTTCTATCTGTCCTTTTGTATATTTATATCAGTATAGATATAATTGCTACTTTGTTACTATCATTTACTTTTTTGCTCACATCCTCTGGATTGGACCTGTCGGAGGTAGATTCTGTTGCTCTTTGGACATTTCCTTTCTTTCTGGCATAACAAAATAGTCAAGGCTCATTTTGTAATATTGCTGCCACAAGCCTGAATAAACCATTTCTTTTTTTCTCTGTCCTTTTTTTTTTAAGAGAAAAAAGATAAACAATGAAACCAAGTTTTAAAACAAGTTAGTAGGACAGTTGCAATAGTTGATACAAAACCATTTCTTTAAGGAGTCTTGTTTTATTGGAGAATGGTGGTTAGCAACCCTGTCTGGGAGCTATGCTGGTAGTTGCTCGATTGTGTGTATTCTTTGAGGCCTTTGCAGTGGGCAGAGGTGGGAAATGAAGGTGTGCATACCTGTGTCCACGCGCTGCGGTCCTGTTGCTGTTGCAGAGCGTGGATCCAGTTACCGTGGGTCCCTATGCAGTGCTGTAGAATTCTTTCCGAAAGTCTCACCCTTTTCACATCTATAACCCTTACTCAGTATAACTGTTCTGAGATTTAGTCTTGTAGTTGTGTGTTTAGTTCATTTTCCTTTTATATTGCAAAGTTACACTCTGTTGCCTGGATATGCCAAATTTTAGGAAACTGCGACTCTTCCCCCAAAATGATGGTAGTGATAATTTTATACTCCCACCAGCAGTCCAGAGTTCCATTTCCCCCAGACTTCAGTATTGTCAATGTCTTCAACTTTTATACTCTTGTAGATAAATTATGGGGTCTCAGGCAGCTTCAGATTGCCTTTCTTTAATGACTAATGGTTTTAATGCCTTTTCTTGTGTTTATTTACTGAATTTTTTTTTTTTTTTTTTTTTGATGATGTATTTGTCCCTGCTGGGATTCGTGTGACATTTTATTGACCAAGCATTAGTGTTACAGGGAGAAAAATGTAACTCCCAACCTGCTAGATGTCAGATATGCTGAGTTTGTCTTCCCTGAAAGCAAAGAATGAACTCTAAGGAACAGTGAAGGTTAAGAGTAGGAAAAATTTATTGAGAGATAGCTCCTGAGAGACAGGAGGGGACCCAAAAGTGGGTTGCCATGGACCCCACTTATCTAAGAATTTTTTATAGAGCAAAATCACAAGGCAGGCACAAAATCATAAAGTGGGGACAACATGGATCAAAACTGTGACCAACCAATGAGATCACGAGTATAGCCACTTAGGTAATATTGATCCAATGGGGAGGCAGGTCATATAGCAAGGGTACATGAAGACATTTTTAGGAAGGGATGGGTCAGGAGGTCCTGGTCACCCACATGGGTGACTGATGTCTGTCTGGACTTTATTGGATCAGGTGATACCAATTATTGTATAATCCCAAGTTACTGCTTATTCCTTAGGGAGGCATGTAGCTTGGTCATTCCATCTTTATCTCAAGGCCTGGCCTTCGACAGATGCACTTCTAGCCAAGCTCTGATGTGTTCTCATCTTCTGCACTGACTCCATCCAGGGTCTAGCCCTGTCTGACTGCATAGAATATTTCTGCCTAACTTAGCCATCTATAATATGAGGAGGTGGGATCTTCAGGGGTGAAGAAGGGGTGGGACCTTAGTGGGGTTAATGCCTTAAAAGGCTTTGGGGAGTAGACTGCATCTGTAGACTTTATTTTTAGATAAAGTTATTATTGCTTTTATAAAAGTCTGAACTATATAAAGATATACTCAAAGGCACCTCCCCATTTTGGGGGTCATATTCCTGCCTTCTCATCCTTTACACCTTATTCCCATTTAACATATAAATTCAACTTTCTAGTTTATGAATTTCCTAAAATTGTTTAAAATGTGGGAAGGGCTATGTTTTTATATTTGTCTCTTTCCTGTTGAGTGGTGTCCATACCTTTCATCACATTTTCAGAGGAGTTTATTTAAAGAAGGAATAAAAAGGGCCACAAGTGCCTTGAGGAAAAGTAGGTTGCGCCTGACCAGTAGAAGGTGCAGTTGGTGAAACTCTTGAGCCTTTTTGTTGCCATCCAAAGATGCTGCTTTAATCAGGTGCAGTAGTGCATACCTGGAATTCCCAGCTACTGGGGAAGCTGAGGCTGGAGGCTCACAGGCATGAGGTCAGCAAGGGCAATATAGTGAGTGTGCGCCCCCCAAATTCCGTTCCAAATGTTTCTGTTGTAATACATGGTGCTTGCCGTAGATCCCGTTGTACGTGTTAACACTTGGCACAACCTGTTGACCTATTGTTAAGAATTTAACAATACATTTTAGAAGTTTCTTTTCCTGGGAGCTGGGGATTTAGCTCAGTGGCAAAGCGCCTGCCTGGCAAGCGCAAAGTCATGAGTTCAATTCCTGGTACTGGAAGAAAAAAAAAAACCAAAAAAAAAAAAAGAAGTTTCTTTTCCTGGTTAAATTTTTTTAATGGTCATTCTTTAATAAGGCTGTTGAAAGAATTCTTGGATCACTGTTGTCAAGTCGCCAAGACATTAACCTGGTAGAGACTATGGAGGGTATTATCCTTGGGGTACTGGCTGTGCCTCCTGAGAGCCCGCTGGGCCCCATAGGCCCTCACCCAGCAGCTGGGAGTGACGGTCACAGCAGCCTCGCACATACCTGTGTGTTCTGTAAATGACAGGCAGATAGGAGTCCTGGAGGTGGACCTGCCGCAGTGCCCCAGCCACCCCACCCAGCTCCCCAGGGTGTTAGTTTCCTGGGGTAACTCCCGTGAGGGGTGAAGTCTCTGTACGCTGAGGCTTACAGGACCAGAGTCTTGCTGTTGCTTTTGCCTGTTATATCTGCTAAATTGTAATGAGAACTCTCTTTTCTCTCTCCCAAGCCAAACTGGCAAGGCGCAGTCAGGAACGAGACAATCTCGGCATGTTGGTCTGGTCGCCCAATCAGAACCTGTCGGAGGCAAAACGTAAGTCCTGGAGTACTTTGTTCCCACTTTGCTCTGCAGCGTAGCCAGAGTCCCCATGTAGGCCACATTCTCTCAAATTGTCATTCACAGTAATCTAAAGTTTGAAGTTGTGTGCTTCATAGCAGTGGCCTGTCACTTGAGAGATTCCTGTCTGTGCTTTCATAACTTCCTGTGTCTCTCAAATGCTGTGTACCACCTTGCACCGAAGTCTAGGAGAATGAGTCCAAGTGGAGGGACAGCTGCAGTGCAGTGTGTAGCTCCTCTAACTGGGAGTTTACAGATTGAGAAAAAAGAAGAGTTGAACAAATTGTAATTTGAAGGATTATCAAGGGTAAATATGTTCTTGGGAATGGGCTTTATTATGTGAGACTTGAGCCTGGCTGGAAGCACAGCGTTTAAATTGGGTGTTTGACAGTATCTGAGGTTTTTATTAGGCAAAGGCTGTAACCTGAACTACTTTTGGCATTTTTTTTTCAGGGTAGGTCTTTTACAGAAGATAGAGCCTCCCTTTGCCAGTTTTTCAGTGGAGGCCTGTGGATGGAATTTACAGGGTTTATTAACTCTGAAATCACATGCAAGGTTTTAGGTTTGATGCATTTTTTGGGGGGTGGGGAAAGACCTTGGATTCTTAAAGAGATCTTTGACAAATATGCAGGCTAAGAATCATTGTTCTGAAGGTCGTAGTATTTAGAAGTGGATCAGTAAAGTTCAAAAGGGGTCTGGTACGTTGTCATTAGAAACAGGCTCTTAAGCCTTAATCAGCATTTGCCAGATTATATTTTGCCTATTAGAATAGGTGTTGCCAGGCATAGTGGTGCACACCTGTAATCCCAGCACTTGCCTGTAAAGCCTATAATTCCAGCACTTGGAAGGCTGAGGCAGGAGGATTGCTGTGAGTTCAAGGTCAGCCTGGGCTACAAAGTGAGCTCAAGGCCAGCCTGAACTACATAGTGAAACCGTGTTTCAAAAAGACAAAAAAAAAAAAAGGCCAGGGATATAGCTCAGTGACACAAGCATCTGTCTGGCAGGCACAAGGTCCTGAGTTTGATTCCAAGTACCAGTCAATCAATCAATCAATAAGTAAATAATTCTATCCAACACTTTCCATTTGTATATGAACTTCTGTATCATTAAAGATCTTTGAAAACCTGAAAAAAAAAGTAAGTAAAGTAAGTAAGTAAATAAAAAATAAATGTTAACAGTTTCTAGTGGGATACAGCATGAGCGATGACATGTAGTGTGTATCTTCCTGTTGAATATTTAGCATCTACGTTAGCATATTTAAGTTGGTGAGAGCTCATACATAAAGAAGCATATTTCATTTTTTTTTTATTTTAAAGAATAAAAGAAGGATAACATAATAATGGGGACTTAGCAAATTACGGACAAAATGGTAGGAAATTATCAATGGTTATCGTTTTACATATTATTATCTACAAAATAGTTTCTCAGGAAAACAAATAGACAAATAATAGTGAGTTACAGACAAAAGAGGTAGGAGATTATCAAGAGTTGTTGTACTATACTTTGGTATCTTCAAAGTGGCTTCTAAAGAAAATAAATAGAGCTATACATGAGTGACCTATTGAAAAATCATTAACTATTCTCAATGGTTGTTGTAGGAAACACATAATAAACAGACATCCATTTATGAAATAGGATAGGAACATTACAAACTTTACACAGTTATGGATAGATTAGTAGGAAAATATCAATGGCTGCTGTAATACGTGGTGGTATCTTCAAAGTGGTTTCTCAGGAAGACAGAGATATGCAAGAAGGACCTATTAAGTAGTTACAGCCTAAGGGTTGTCAAAAATAGCATATTACCTCCTCACCAGTGACTCCTTTCACTGAGGTATGATGGCTGGAAAGCATATTTCATTTTAACCTGGGGGAATCCCTTCTATTTTTGTATAGTACCTTCCACAGAGCGTGAGAAATTCAACTACTCTTAGTAACGCTAAACTTAGCAATAATAAAATACTCTTTTTTGTATGATGTGATTTTTTAAAATATCTTGATCTCACCACTATCATTCTGCTGTTTTATGGGTTTATAAGAACAGCATACATACCCTGTATCCCAGCACTTCGGGAAGCTACGGCAGGAGGGTCCCAAGGGCGAGCCCAGTCTGGGCAACTTAGTGATATAGCGAGACACTGTCTCACAAAATAAAAAGGGGTTGTTGGGTGTGGTGGGGCATGTCGGTCATCCCACCCCTGGGGAGGTTGAGGCAGGAGGAGCACTTCAAATTTGAGGCCAGCCTGGGCTACATAGTAAGCTCAAGACCAGGCTGAACCATGTAGCAAGACCTCATCTCAAAAGAAACAAAAATAGAATAAAATAGATAAAAAAATAAAAAGTTCCAGAATGTGGTTTATTTTAAAGGTGCTGGGATTAATCCCCAGTATCATACTAAAGACCAGATAGCAGAAGAGGAGCATTGCTATTCCTGATGCCTTTGTTGTGCCTACGAAGACCTGAGTATTTCCTGGTGGCTTTCCACCTCTCCTCTTGGAGCACTTGTGTGGACTTACAAAAGCAGTCTATGCCATTTTTGAACAGGTTCTCCCTTTCTTGCAGAGAGCTGAAAATCTGCCTCCCCAAGTTTGTAAACCATTGTTTTCTGGGGCTCTGCTAAATGTCTACTTCTGCCTGTGTTTCTTAGTTGCTCTGTCGTCCTATCCCCTTGTTGCTTCCCATGTCTCTCAGGGAGCTGAATTGGGGTTCTCTGCATCTCTGTGCCCTCCTGGATAGATTCCATTTGGTCACAATGCCAATTTCCAGTTGTGGTACCCAGAACTGGGTACGGGGGGAGCATTCGCTGAGTAGGGTGCCGAGCACAGCATGTTCTCCATGGGCCTGCAGCCTTGGTCTCCATGGTAACGGGATGTTTCTGTCCCCACTGTACAGATGGCTTTCCCCAGGTCTGGGACACGTTGGCACTCACATGGACTGCACGTGGGGAGCCTGCAGTGGTGCGCTGACACCTAAAGCTACCTCTCAGAGAGGCTGGGTCCTCTGCATTACCACAATGGCAGGATGCCATGGATAGGGCAAAATTGCATTTGTCTCTCTTGTCTGTATCACTTATTGGAGTCTTTGTGAGGTGTTCTGTTTTATTTTGAGACAGGGCCTCACTATGTAGTGCAGGCTGGCCTTGAGCTCACTTATGTAGCCCAGGCTGATCTCAAACTCGCCGTGATCCTCCTGCCTCAACCTCCTGAGTTCTGGGGTTACGAGCATGCACCACCACGTCCAGCCCTACTGGAGTCTTTAGAGTCAGGTTTTAACTTTAATATTTTATTTTTCTTAGAGCTAGAAGAAAAGAACAATATAGAAATAGTTAATATTTTTAAGCACTGGTTTTTGTATAAAATAAATTTGCAGTTTTATTGTAAGCCCTGCCTAGTATTAATTAAAACTTTGAAAACTAATCCAAAAGTAACATTTAGCCGGTGCGGTGGTACATGCCTGTAATCCCAGTACTCGGGAAGCTGAGGCGGGAGGATTGTTGCAAGTTTGAGACCAGCCTGGATGGGCTACGAAGTGAGTTCAAGGCCAGCCTGAACTACATAGCAAGGCCCTGACTCAAAAAGACCAAAAAAAAAAAGTGACATTTATGTACTGTTTAAAATTTAAAAGATACCAGAGAAATAGCTCAGCACAAGGTCCTGAGTTTGATCCCTCATAAAAAAAAAAAAAAAAAAAAGTTTAAAAGGCATTAAAAAAAAAAGAAGAAAAAGTTGGCCTCTTTTTCTGTTACTCCAAGATACTGTTAAGCATTTTGTAATGTTTGGACATTACAAATGTAATGTTTGTAATGTTTGGACAATCATTTTTTCCCATGTATATTTATATACATGAGATGATGGCAGTGTTGTCCTGAACACTTGCCCAGCATTTTCTGCATTAAAATGCCCTGTAAACATTTTAAGTAACTGTACAATATTCGTATGGGTGAGTTAGCATATTTAACCATTCCTCTGCTGAAAATTTAGGTTGTTTCCAATTTGTTGCTATTGTAAAGGAAGGCTGCAATGAAAAACTGAGTCATAGAGCTTTGTCCTGTTCTTGTTTGATTGTAGGATTTTCTTACTTTGTATTTCTAAGAACAGAGTGATGGGTTGGGAGGAATGTGCTTAAGTAATGGGACCCCTTGGTGTGGAATAGATCTCTGTGGCTGCCCACGTGCCAAGGTTTGGGAGTCATGGTCTTTGGCTAATGGTGTTACCAGTTAGGCTTTATCACGTCATTACACTGTGAGTACGACAAGTCTACAGAATTTCTTTGCCATCTGTCATCATTCCCTCAACCCTCTCCCACAGTAAATAGGCAAAAGGAAGTCTTTTCTTCTTGACTTTCTTCTTTATTTTGAAGGGGCGTGAAAGTCTTGGTTTTGTCACTGATTTGGATTTTAGGTAGAAATAGACTAGGACATGTATAGATTTTAGCAGCTCTCCGAAAAAAAAAAATTTTTTTTTGTCTTGTTATGCATAACAGGGTCTTGTTATGCAGTTCAGGCTGGCCTTGAGCTCACTTTGTAGCCCAGGCTGGTCTCGAACTCACGATGATCCTCCTGCCTCAGCCTCCTAAGTGCTGGGATTACAGACGTGCACCACCACGCCCAGCTTCCCTGCCCCCATGGAAATTCTGTCTGTAGACCCCCAGCTTTGTCTTCTTGGTTTGTTTCTTCTCACAGTGGCTGTTGAGATTCTGCCTCTTAGGATTATGTAGGGTTATTACAAAAAAAAGTTAAAATTTATTTTCTGCTTATAAAAATAAATGCTGTTGTACAAAATTCAAATAATATGTATAATGTGGATAGCAAAAGCCCTCTCATACACTTTCTTTTTTCTTGGTACTGGGAATCGAACTCTGCCTCATACTTGCCAAGCAGGTGCAGTGCCGCTGAGCTATATCCCTATACCCATTATTAATAATGCATGTGTTTTGTTCTGTGAGCTCTTCATCAGTTTATCCCTAAAAGTATGTCT